CTCGGAGAGGCTGGTGCCGGTGCCATGAGCTGAGCTGGGGAGGAGACCAGCACAGGGTTGACGCTGCGGGCGACGTTCACAACCAGTCGCTTTGCTTTCTGTCTGAGAATGCACAGCAGCGGACAGGAGGCCAGTTCAACCATGTACAGCTAGCTCCGCGAGGCTGATGCTGTTCTTCGAGCTGAACAACCATCCCTTTCTGTGAACGTGAACTGCTGCCCCCTCAGCTTCCCGTCTGACCTTTCCAGTGGCTGCTTGTGAGCTTGATCGTGCGAAGCTGGAGCCTGGAGGGGCATTCTGTGCCGGCGAGCGACACCTCCATGATGGGCTGCCTGGCTTCTCTGCCCTTTCGGGCCAGGCTCCCTGAGTGTATGGGAGGCAGACTCGGGACTGCTCAGCAGGGAAAGATGGGTCCCGGGCAGGCCATGGCCAGAGGTCAGACCTAGCTGGCATCATAGTCAAAGTGGGTGGGTGGCACCTGATGCCCAAGGAGGCATTGGGTGGCGGTGGTGTTTGGCTGGTTTGTGGGGGGAGAGTGGGCAGCTCTGCGTTTGTCCCCAGACCCCCTTTCTGCTTAGCGGGTGAAAGAGCGGGTGAGCTGCTGGACAGGGGCTCTGTCCGGTGGACAGGCCCAGGGCGAGAGGCCCATCAGGCAGAGCCATGCTTCCAGGAGAGGGCGCCCAGCCCAGGCCAGCCAGCCGGGCCTGACTTCTGTTTTCTGGCCAGCTGCCATCCTTCTTTCTCCCTGGTGACCTCTTTGTGCGTCTGAGGCCGCTTCTCAGGAGGTTGTGTCCAGAAAGGCAGGTGTGGGAGGGCTGGTTAGAACCAGGCTTGCTTTGGCTGCTGTTTCCGGATGGGCTGCTTACAAGTTCACTTCCCTGTGAGCTCTGTGACAGCGCTGAGCGCACGAGGTGTGAACCCGGTCGTCCAGGAGCCTCTCAGGTAATGAGTCTGAGATGGGGGGGGCACAACTGTCCCCATGCACGCCCGCCCTCCCTCCGCCATCTCACCCCGCGAGCACACAGAGCCGTTCCTCATCAGCTTCTCTGTCTCTCCCACCACCTGCACAGGAAAACGTGGTTCATCCTTTCTGTACGATTAAAACTGACCGTTGACCTAATGATTTTAGGCAGATTCTTCTGAAAGAAAATTCTCTTGGGCAAACCCTGCCACCCTTGCTTTGGGGTGTAGGGAAGAGGGCTGCACTCTTTCTAATCTTTCTACACACACACACACACACACACACACACACACACACACACACTCTGAATAAATGTGGTGGTGGACTGGTCACGCATTGGGCTGCCATCGGCATGGTTGGTAGTTCGCAGCCACCACCAGCTCCGAGGGAGAAACACTGGACTTTCTACTCCTGTAAGTAGTTGCAGCCCCAGAGACCCACCGGGGTCACTGTGAGCCAGCATTGACTCAGTGGCCGTGAGTTTTTTGTTTTTATTGTGGTCATGCTAACCCCCAGGTGAGCAGCTTGAAGCCATCCAGCCATTCTGGGAGAAGGACGAGGCTTTCCACTCCCACGCAGTCAGTCTCGGCAGCCCCCAGCGACGGCTCTGCTCTGTCCCGGGGGTTTGCTGGGAGTCGGTGTCGGCTTGCGGGCAGGGAGACTTGAGGTGTGCTCACGACGACCATCTCGTGCCCCCACGGCCATCCTTGACGTGTGGATGGCGGCCTCTCCACCAGGGCTGTGGGTTCCTGCTGCAGAGCCTCCCGCTTCTACAGCGGTTTCTACACCGGCCCTCTGTTGACACTGACGAGTGCCTTCAGGCTGTCAGCCATTCCCACCCGTGTTTTTGAGTTGTTCTCCCCTGTGCCAGCGAAGGTCATGGTGCGTCCATGGTGCGTCCACATGGCGAGACCCTGGTTCTCAGTGGCCTGGCAGATATGCCATGGCGTCACTTGGCAATTACATACTGACGTAGTTCTAGCCCTGTTTTTTGATCTGAGAATATAGTCGCCTCCTCCTTGGCTTCTCTGCCCTCCTCGCTCCTGGCTGGGCTCCTGTGATTCGGCCACGGCTGGCGCGGAGCAGGGAGGGGTTGCTGGATATGGCGGAGGCATGAGAACACAGTGGGGGGAGTTGACGACGGCCTGCATGCCCAGCCTAGGTGGACAGTGGGACCTCTGTCGGTGGTGTGGTGCATCCTGGGCCTAACCGGGAATCCATTTGTGGTGAAGGGGGGCTGTGTGGGCCTGTAGGTCACGTGTGGGTTTTCAGATTGGTGACAGGCCCCAGGTCCTGCTGCAGGGTGCTGGGGTCGTGGTAGGCATGGATGAGGGGAGGTTGTGGGCGGTGGTGGGAAGACTACCTAGGTGAGCCTCCTGGGTGTCCCCTTCTGACGCTCCCTGTGCCCACAGCCTGGGGGTGCCCACAGCACAGGGGGAGGGAGGTCTCACCGTGCCCCCTCCCTGTGCCCAGCTTTCCGAGGAGGAGAAGATCCAACGCTACAGTATTCTCTCAGAGCTGTATGAACTCATCGGCTTCCGCCGCAAGTCCGCCTTCTTCAAGCGCGTGGCTGCCATGCAGTGCGTGGCACCGAGCATCGCCGAGCCGGGCTGGAGGGCCTGCTACAAGCTGCTCCTGGAGACACTGCCCGGCTACAGCCTGTCGCTGGACCCCAAAGACTTCAGCAAAGGTACTGTGCAGGGGACTGCCGTGCTGCAGGGTCCCGGGTGGCATGGTCGGCTTTCCTGGAGGGTCCCACCCAGCGCAGTGCAGAGGGAAGGCCTGGTGACCCCTGAAGTTGGTTATCTCAGAGCCCGGTGGGCCACCCCTGGTCAGGACTGCGTGACTACGGGGTCAGCAGTTAAGCACTCCCAGGGCCAGCGGGCAGGCCGATCCTCAGAGCACAGGTCCTGGAAGACCCAGTGGGCAGCTCGGCTCTGCACACACAGGGCCTCATGAGTCCACGGGTGAGTATGAATCTGAGCATGGCTGGACAGGCCCCTAGAACTTGGGGGCCAACAGCTGAGAGGCTGTGTTTGGGGGACAGTGCCCTGGAGGGGAGTGAGTGGCTGACAGCAAAAGGACTGCTACTCAGACCAGGTGGAGGGGTGAGAGAGCACAGGTGGGGGGGCTCTCTGTGCTGCGGGGCTGCAGGCCCATCACTGAGGGGCCACAGGGGGGCTCTGGTGTGTCCCTCCAATAGAAGCCCCAGCCTGCTCAGGGTGAAAGCCAGCCTTCCCCACTATGTAAGTCTCACCAGGAATTCTGGGATTTCCCTCTTTATGGAGGACGCTGGTGCAGTGGTTACACCTTGGGCTGATCACCACAAAGTCAGCGGTTCAAGGCCACCCACCGCTACTCGGGAGAAAGACAGGCTTTCTACTCCTGTAAAGAGTGACAGTCTCAGAACCCCACAGGGGCAGGTCCACCCCTTCCTCTAGGGGCACTATAGGGCAGCCTCGACTCGATGACAGTGAGGTGGAAGCACCTAAGGGGGGCCTGGTGGTTGTGGGTGAAGCAGCAGTTGTGCTTACCACAAGGCCGGCGGTTCAATCCCACCAGCTGCTTCGTGAGTGGAAGGCGAGGTCGTCTATTTCCGTAGAGCCCTCAGGACCTAATGAGGACATGCTCAGTTACTGTCCCTCTTACAGGGAGTCTGAGTCGAACCACCGGCACGGCCGCGGGCAGGCCTCGGGGCCTGCTAACGGGCGTCCTGCCTTCCCGCACTCCCGAGGGGGCTGCTGGCACAGCGTGTCAGTGCTCAGCAGGCACCCAGAGGCCCTGTGAGTCTGCGCATGGCAAGATGAAGCTGGCAGCTTCCGTGAGGGGCAAGGCCTGGGAAGCGCTGTGGGCTGTGGGGCAGCTCTGCCAGTGATGTGGGGACACTTGCATTGGCATCGGCAGCCCTGGAAGCCCCGTGGGGGTCCCTTCAGGGTGGCTGTGAGTCGGAACCCACCCGACTGCCCCTGTGACCTTCGTCCTGCCTAGGGCACATCCCTTAAAGGAGCCCCCTGGGTCTCCCCTGTCACCGAGCCCGCTGTTCTTCCTCGCAGCTTTGCCCCTGAGTCGTCAGCACATTTGGAGCGTGTGTGACTGTCTAATGCCAGCCCGTGAGTCGCGAGAGGGCAGGGACCCCCGCCTTGCCCCATGTCCCCCTGTGCTACACAGACAGATGAGGTGGTCAAGTCTGTGAGCAACAAAACCCGAAGCTCGTCTCTAAGAGGGGCCCCAGCCGCGCCCAGGCCTTGTGAGCCGTGAGGAGGTGGGGAGGGCCGGGGAGCCAGAGAACGGAAACCCACATGCCCTGGCTGGCAGTGCTTCTAACCAGAAAGAAAATCCCACCTCCCCCACTGCCCACAGGGGCCGGGCTTCAATCACTGAGACTGGGCCCTCAGGCCCGGCAGGTACTTCCCCTGCTTCTCACCTGAGCAGGGACAGGGGTGAGTGTGCTCAGTGAGCGCCCAGCGTGCTGCTCATTCCCGTCTTACTCCCGTTGATGCTGCCCCTGGAAACCACCGATGGCACCTTTTGCTGGGCCGGAAACTCTGAACAGGGACCGTCCAGGCACCAGGGATGCCCAGAACAAGCCTCCGCATGGTCACTGAGGGAGTCAGTAGCAGGGCATGGAAATGCTATCCTGTGGGCCACACTGCAAATCTGCCCTAAGGAAGGAAAAGCCTGCCGCGTTTCCCAGGAGGAGTGACTTGCACACTGCC